TTACCAATTGTTCAGACCGAACTGTCTTATATGAATCTATCTCTTTGATAATTTTTGAAATATTTGTTTTATTAAATGTGTAAAAGCTTTGTATAATGACAATGAATGACATAACAACATAACCTCAAGCTAGCCCATGCATAGCGAAAACTAAGAATGATTATGAAAAGTAAACGCTTTGAGTAGCAAAATCAGCATACAGTTAATAACTGCATGGTAAGCTTGCTTGTAAACATGTATCTAGCCCTTAAATAAATCTTAACAGTCTGTCACATCAAAGAAGTCGTGAATTGTCAGAACACGCTTCCCGACAACCTCGTGTCAAACTGGCTTGTAAAGTTTGATTAGGTTATAAACTGGCTCAGTTGAACATAAACTCATTCATGTCTAGAACGTTAAATTGCATGCTTCTGGAATGCAAAGCCGTAAACCAGACAATTTAAAATGATTACTCAACTTAACAAGCACCTCTCAAGCTGTGCTATAACATATTAGCTAAACATAACCTGCTGCCAGAGATTGTAACAATTGCCTGCTCAGTCAAAGACTAATTGAGTTTACAACTAGCTTGCAAATACTTAGCTAACAGTTAAATATTCCAGACAGATATAAACTCAAAGCATCTGAATAGCTAAGTGTTTAACTTTAACAGGCTATGCAAGCCATGTTTTAGACTCTGATGTTGCGGCATTTAACATGAGGTTAAATTGATTGGCTAAATTCAACCTGAAGCTGAGCCGCTTACAGCTGGCGAAAGCCAAACAATCTGCCTTTATCAGGCGACTAAATTGATAAGCCATAATTAAACCTGAACCTAAACCATTTATGTCTGGAATTATGAATTATGAAACGTGAAACGTGAATGAAGCGACATAGTTCGGTTAAACGTCACGTTTAACGTCAACTAAACATGCATCTGTAAGCTTGGCCTGGCTCTTATCTGGCCATAATTGAGATGCCATTCATGAGCAAGACAATTATATAGTTATGCGAAGCTTTTTGCAATTGTTTAAACATTACTGACACAGTCAAAGACACGCTGACTGGCAGTTAGTGAGACAGTCAGCAAGTTCAATGGACAAACTAATCCACATAATTGAAGATAATTAAGGCGCATTCACAATTCACAATTTACAATTAACAATTGCCAACTGTGAATTGTGAATTGTCAATTAACAATTGCAATGGCAACTTAATTAACAGCATGGTCAGCCGAGCTGCTAGAACGAACAACCACAAGTTGACATAACTGACAGCTAACAAGCTGCTGACAAGCGACAAGCGACTCGCTTGCGACCTGGTTGATGCAACACGACGCATGCGTCTTGTGCAATGTTAAATGACCATTTGGCAGCAACAGTTAAACGCTAAAAGCTGCCATTGCAATTGGTCTTAGAACTGGGTCAATTGTGCTGACAGCCGCTTGACAGCCAGTTAAACATGCAGATCAATAAATACGAAAATTAAATTAAAACCATTAAAAACATTTGCCAAATTAATCATACTCAAAAGAGTGCATATTCTCGATCTAAATCAAATAACTACAGCTTCAAAATTTAATTGTAGATTTCACTGGAAACTTGTCAAGTGAAAGAGTTGAGAGAGTCGCAAAATCCACAGCTTCTGGCTAAAAAGCGAAGGATATGATATTGTATAGACATAGTTCGAAAAAAGTACGTTCGATCGGCTTTAGACTTATTTTCAATGAGAACTTCATGAAGATGTGTTTCAGCGATTTCAGAAATTCCACTCGCCATGGCGGAAAATTGGCGGAAAACCTTTGTGTGAATGTTTTTCTGCTTCGAGCACAATTTAAAGATCTTTTTCCAAACCTTCTGTAACTGAAACGTATGCAGAAGACGATCCAGGACTTTATGCTCATATTAACAGACAATAATATTTATATAATAATATGAATTATAATTGATGATGATGAATGGTCTTGGTTTTTGGTTATGCGGAAGAGAGTGCGTTTTTTTTTTTTATTTTTGGCTGCATTTGGACGGTTTTGGTGGGCGGAAAAATATTTATAAACGTTGTTTAATTGCGTAACGGCGACATAGGCGGATGTGGCGCTGGTACCACTGTGCGGGCAGTCACACACACGCACACACACACACGAACACACACGCATACACAAAATATGGCAAAGCCATTTCCGCATGTCAACCAAGTCGTCAAATGCTGCGATGCGTTTCAGTGAAAATTCATTGAAATGCTTGCAGAGCCACCGGAACATGCCAAGAAGCGGAGAGAGGCAGGGAAGCATAGAAAAAGAAGAAGAAGAAGAAAGCGGAGGTGCAGCAACTGCAACTGCAACTGCAACTGGACGCCACAAAAAGATTCACAGATAGAGCTCAAGCTCCGGAGATCTTTTAGCTGCGGACTGTGGATTCGCGGCTACCTTTGTTTTGGCTGGGCAGAGGGGCTGGCCAGAAGGGGGGGGGGGGGGGTGGGGAGTGGGTATTTTTGGGGCAACAACTTTTACTTTGGTCTGGACAAATGAGCTGCATGCAGCGACAAAGTCTTCTGGCGCGTGCAGTGAAAACCTGAGAGGCACACGTAGACATCGTTTATTGCCAAATGCACGAAGCTTTTTGGGGCTGGACACGCACCGCTGGCCACGTGCCAGAGCCCAGCTGGGTGCCATGGCGTCCATATGGCGTCTATAGCCACACACACACACACACATACAAAGAGAGAGAGAGACAGACAGGCACAGGCACACCTTCATATGTAGCTCTTATATGGTTCGTGGCTTTCTGTTAAAAGTGAAGACTCTTGTGGCTTGGCTTTGTGGGTGGAACGGAGGGAGGGGGTGTAGAAGGGGGCAGAAGGGGGGCTTTGGTGGTGTCTATGACCATGTCTGAGGGAGCGACGCGGCCAACTGCTCGTAAATTGTAAAAATTTGAAGGAAAACGCGCAATAATTAAGCGAGCCAAATGTAAAGCAAAAAGAAAAAAACAGAAGGCAACTGAATAAAAGTGCGATAAAAATGCATTTTAAACTATAAATTAGAAGCGAATCGATCACGACTGCCCGACTAGCAGATACCCTGTAATAAGCAGTCCCACAATATGCAGCCTGGTCCGATCTTGATGAAATTCACAGCGCTTAATTATCTGACATTAAAATGCTTGCAGCTTTAAAAATGTGTGTTTCTTTCAAAACTTTTGGGCAACGAGCGAGAGTAGCAAAAAAGTGAACTATTTTTAATATGCAAATGCTTTACGAGAATGCACCTAACCAGTTTTGTGCATCTAGCTCTTACAATCTTCGAGTTATGCTCAAAAAACGAATTCACAAAATCGATATTTATCGATATATGGCAAATGGAGGGAAAATATGACAAACTCATTTGGCGTTTGGTACACGAGATGAAACAGACAGACTGACGGACAGAGAGAGAGAGAGGCAGACAGAGGGAGAACGAGACAAACAGACAGAGAGAGAACGAGACAGACAGACAGACAGACAGAGAGAGAGAGAGAGAACGAGACAGACAGACAGACAGACAGAGAGATACAGTTAGTTTAAGTCGACTATTGATGATCAAAAATATATATATGTATACATATAGAAATATAGATTAGATAGATATATAATTATGTAATTAGATATATATATAGATTGGGAGATCTCCAAAGACTTGAATTGGGAGATAGATGCCTTCTGCTGCTCACTGCACACACTTGCATGCAATCAATATACCCTTTTTTCAAATGGATACAGGGTATACATACAAGACAGATATAAAAAGCTTCGTTTGTTTTAAATGTAACTCGGTGCGTTGTTGTCGTCATCGTCGTTGTTATTGTTGCTGTTGTTGTTGTTGTTGCACATAGCTCAGCGTATAATTAAAGTGAAAATGCGCCAAGTATACCTGCTCATATACTGTATATATAAATAGAGACATATATCTCTAGATATTTAGCCAAAGATACCCGCTTGACAGCCGAGCCGTTTTCATTTTGGTATTTTGATATTTTGATATGCTATACGATATGTTATATGATATGTTATGGGCTCGTCTTCGAGCTATTGCACAATGCGGTGAGTGCAGTGCATTCGGCTTGAAAGACCAGTTAAATGCTGTATTTATATGATTGATTCAATGATTGATGCTTGAACTGCTTTAAACAAGCAAATTGACTTGGCTTTCTTTTGTTTTCGGTTCTCGAAATCGATTGAAATTCTTGAATGAGCTGAGAAGCTTCAGTAATAACAATTTTTGGTCAAAAATTCAATCGTAATTTTGAATGCATCAATCAAAAGTTCTTAGCTTTGATCAAATTTGTTATATTGTTCTCTGATTTTCAACGCCTACTTGAGTTTTCAGAAATTAAGCGAGTTTCCTAGCTCGGATTGAGGCTTGATTGATGACAAACTGATTGCTATCACTTAGTAAGTCAGTCAATCAATCAGGACAATCCTTTTATAATGTATCAAGATAACAATTGATAAGAGCTTTATCTGCGATCTATATGTCGTTTCTGCGATGGTACACTGTTAATTATTTCTTCTGATTCTTTTTCAGTAAAGTCAGTCAATCACTATCAATCAATCAGAACAAACAGTTTCATATATATTAAGATAGTAATTGATAAGATCTTCCTATAATATACTCTAAGGGACAGTCAGTCAATCAATCAATCGTTCAGTCCATCAATCAAAACAAATAGTTTTATATGCCCCAACAATTGATGAGTTTGAATGAAGATTGATATATAGATTTGCCTTCATACTCTAGCGCACCTCGTCTAATACAGTGCAGTCAATCAGTCAGTCAATCAATCAGGAGAAATATTTGTATATATATTACGACAACAACTAATAAGCCATAAGCTATACATAAACTATAAAGCCCACCTCCATCTACTGCAGTACAGTCAATCAGTCAGTCAGTCAGTCAGTCAGTCGGTCAGTCAGTCAATCATTCAGTTTTATATATATTTGAATTAAACTCTAAAGAAACTTTTCTATCTTTGGTGCACTTACAGAGATGCCAAAATGGAGCCAATGACCATGTTGGTATTGGCCTTTCAGCTGCTGGCGCTCTTCTCGATCGCCGGCGCGCTGCTCATCTATCTGATATGCAAGGTGCGTGAGGAGAGCCAGGCGGGCAATGGAGAGGTGCCGCCCAGCCGTGTGGTGCTGGTGACGAGCGCCGACACGGCGCTGGGCCTGCAGCTGTGCACATATCTGGCGAACAAGGGCTGTCGCGTCTTTGCCGGCATGAAGGAGGCACGCGATTCGCTGCCCGCCAAACTGCTCTGCGGCTGGATGAAGATACGTGAATATAGCGAGGAGCCGATCAGCGGAACCATCATACCGATGCGCCTGGACGTGACACGTGAGGATGTGCTGCGCGAAGCGACCATCGCCATGGGCGCCCATCTCAACGCCAATGAACGCGGCATTGCCGCTGTCATCAATACCAGCGGCAGTGTGTATCGCGGCCGTGTCGAGTCCCAGGATGTGCAGCAATGGGAGCACATGCTCAAGACCAACATATTGGGCACGCTGCGTGTGGCCAAGGCTTTTGTCGGTTTTCTGCGTCCGACACGCGGACGTCTACTCTATTTGGGCGGCAGCAGTGCCGGCGCCAGCATGGGCGGCGATGGCCTGGTGGCATTCAATGCCTCGCGCGTCGCTGTGGAGAAGTGTGCCGAGGAGCTGCGCAAGGAACTGCAGCCATATGGTGTCAGCATTGTGGCGCTGGACACATGCGGCATGACCGTCGAGTCGCTGTACAAGGCGCCCGTTGCGCAGAGTAAGTGCTCCCATCCATCCATCTGCTTTCAGCAAACGCAATCTCTCGCCTTCAGCAATAACAACAACAACAACTCTTCTGCTTTCAGCCATGTCACAGTGCCCGGGCGCACCCACCCAGTATACGGCGGATGTGCTGAGCGCCAGTGCGCTGCAGGTCATCGAGCGGGCCCTGTGGGACTTTGTGCCGCAGCAGCGCTACACGTTGCTCTCCCACAACAAGTATCAATTCACGTTGCCATGCCGCTCTTCGCTGCGCCTACATCGAGCCAGCAGCGAGTCCGCCACGCAGTCCGTCTAGACCAGAAACAGAGAGAGAGAGAGAGAAAGAGAGAGAGAGAGGGAGAAACAGGGTGAGAGAGAGGAAGTGAGAGATCTGGTGGAGCAGGCATATCAACGGCTGGCCGCACTGGGATCACACCTAATACTTACAATACCTTTTCTGTACATACGTATGCAACACACACACACGCACACACACTTACACATATACAGAATCGTTGTCTTTTACATTGTATTCAGTTATCTATAATCTATATATGCCTAAAGGCTTTAACATTTTTTTTAAATGTTTATATTTGATATTTGTTTTTTTTTGTGTCCCCTTTTCTTTTATAAAGTTGTAAATTGACAATTTGCTGCATTTGATTTGTAGACAATTTGTGCATATTTTTGCATATGTATATATATATATATATTAATGCGATTTATCTCTTTATATATATATACATATATATATGCAATAATACATACAAACATATCAGAATATACACGAATATATATACATATATATATATATATATGATACTTGTTGGTTTACATTTTAGTTTTGTTCCTTGTTGCGTGTGTGTTTTATTGTTTTATTTTGGAGTGTGCTGGGAACTGCTTCCGGGCGGAGCAAATAGTTATTCGTATCTGGAGATAAAATCATAGCGCAGCACCGAGGCGCTGTAGATTTCACCGGCACGCGCCTGCAATTTGGTTGCTGTGCGTCCTGGCAAATGGATGAGCACATCGGCGCACACAATGCTCTGCAGCCGGCTGCTGATCTGTTAAAATGTTCATCGATTAGTTCTGGAAGTTGCCTGTTTCTCGTTCGCTTACCTGATTCCCATTGACGCTGGCATGCAGCTGGCCATTGATGCTGCTCACCGAGGCGCGCACATATTCGGGACGTGCATCCAAATCGATGGCTTCATTGAGCAGCTAAAATTCAGAATTAATAAACATTTTATTACAATCGTTAAGCGTTTTTGGTGTTGTTTCCTAAGGATCGGGTTAGCGTAGATGTGGCCCCATCCGTAGCAAATGAGTCGAAGGTAAGAAATCTATCTTCAGGGCATTTGTTCAATCATCTGATGTTTCATGTGATTCGAGTGGACACATAAAACTCTTTGGCTTCAGATCAAAAACCGCATTAACAATATTTAAGCGATTGTGTGAAAAACTTGCTATTCATTCATATTTTAAATTTTGTTGAACGTTTGGCCAAATCAGGTGATTTATTGCCCGCCGAAATGTGCCAGCATTTATCTATGGCTGCCTAATCTAACTTGCCGTTCACTTTACCGCAAATATTTGTTTATGTTTTAAAAGCATATTGGGGCGCGATAACAAAAATAGAAATACAAACAAAATGTTGAACTATTTGAAGAGTGTCTTGTTGAGTGCCTGTCTTATCGCTCCAAAGAGCGATAACGCTAGCGCGTCATTATGATGCAGCATGGAGCGTGGATTGCTGGACTGAATTGATCTACATATATGCAATAATTGATCGATCCCCAAGCGTCTGTCATAGCTGAAGGGCATTAGCTAATCTACGCCCTATTTGCAGCAGGCTATTCAGATAGGTTTAGGTATTTCACAATGTGCTTGGGACTTACCGCCACATTGATAATGGGCAGGGGGCATTTGGCGCGCTCCCAGCCATCGGCCCAGCGGATGGCGGGCAGTGCGAACAGATGGAATGTGACAAAGGCGGACACGGGATTGCCGGGCAGGCCAAAGAAATACTTGGTGCCTCTGCTGGCGAAGGTCATCGGTTTGCTGCAAATGCAAATACAAAATAGCAATTAGTTTGGGTTCTGCACTGTTAGCATGTGTAAGAACCAACCCAGGCTTCATGTTGACGCGTCCGAAATGCACTTTAAATTTGAGATGCTCCAGCGCCGGCTTAATGAAGTCCTTGTCGCCCATTGAGACGCCGCCGCTGCAGATGACAAAGTCCACAGCATCGAATATATTGGACAGGGTGAGTGTTATGGTCATCAGGCTGGGACGGGAGCAAAATAATAAATATATATTCGTGTGCTAGCTGTCGGGCAAGGGCACATGATCTATGGCACTCACTCGTCGCCGAGCACATGCTGCTGCATGCAATCGAAGCCGAAATAGAGCAACAGCTCCTCCAGCATGGTTGTATTCGAGTCAAAGATTTTGCCAGTGTCGGCTGGCTGTTGGGGTGCGACCAGCTCGCTGCCAGTTGAGATAATGGCCACTTTCGGCTTGCGCCGTTGCAGCTGACAGCCAACGGAGGCCAGCAACGATTTGAAGACAACGGGCGAGTAATCGGGAGCGGGAAACACTTTATCGCCCTTCCGCAGATCGTGCCCAATTGAACTGCATGCAAAAAAAAGAAAGACATTTATATATTGAATTAGAGACTGGAAATTAGACTAGCTTACCGCACATCCTGTCCCGCTTTGGGCTCGACCAGGATGTCGACTAGGCTTTCCTCGCCATATTTGTCGCGCTGCAACAGCCTGGTATCCTCCACCTGGACCACACAGTCCGCATCCTCGGGCAATGGCGCGCCCGTATTGATCTTGAAGCATTCGTCCTCCTGCAACGGATGTAGGCTAACCTGCAACCAGCAGCAAAATGTCAATAAGCAAGCGCACATGTGTGTGAAAAATAGACAACAACAAAAAAATCAAGAACCTTGTCGCCGGCAGCAATGAAATCCACAACACGCTTGGTGCCCGGAAAACCGGTCGACTTCATTGCATAGCCGTCCTTAATGGACGCCCGAAAGGGCGGTATGTTGATAGGTGAGAGGAGTGCATCCATCTGTTGATTTGTGGCGTTATTGCGCTGCACCACGCTGAGAATGGTGTCCAGGGCCTGGTGCACTGGCAGCATTGGAAACGGTGAATTGCGATCGACATCGTCGCCGGCGCCCGTCTGGTGCGGACATACATGGTCACGTCTCAGCACCTTTGGCAGCGCCGCAACCGAGCCTTGCACTTCGGCATGCGTGCGTTGAACAAGTGCCACATTGTTACCGATCAGATGGAGAGCGTGCGGCAACAGTTCGCGTACCGCCTCGAAGCACTCGCCAACAGCCTTCTCGCTACCCGGAAAATTAAGCACAAGCGTATTCCCGGCAATGCCGCAAACGCCACGGGATAGGGCAGCAAATTTGGTCTTCTGCAGCGATGCCAATGCAATGGCCAGGGTTAGCTGATTGCAGTCCTTATCCAGCAGGGGCTTTGTTGCCTCCGGCGTAACATCTCGCGGAGCAAAGCCAGTGCCCCCCGTGGTTATTATGATGCGCACATCATTTCGATCGATCCATTTGCGCAACTCACGCTGGATCAGATCGCGCTCGTCAGGCAGCACACTGGCAACCACCTGGGCATTGTCAAACGATTGGCGTATTAACGCCATCAAACGCGGTCCGCTGCGATCCTTCGCCGGCTCCTGGTAACAGGTGTCACTAACTGAAACCGCAAACACGCTGTTAATATGGGCAGCCGAGAAAAACGTCTCGCTTACTTGTCAATACTCCGAACGTAATCGACTCCATGGCAACATTTATATAATCTGAGTGGCACGCAGCGTTTGTTACTTTCAATTAAATTGTTTAATAAAACGTTTAGCACTCAAAAAAAAATGTTTTCGATTGCTTTGACCATTTTGAGGGTAAGGCTTTTGGGCATTTTTAGCACATTTTGTACACACCAAATTGCTTGAGTGTGTACACACTTGTTTTTGCCATTTCAAAATTGCAAGTTTCACTCGGATTTTTAACGTAATATTAATATTAAATATTTATAATAATATTCGGCCGTAACTATTATTAGTGAGCGTAATCATAATGCTAATGTTTATGTTTTATTTACACTACACTACAACAAAACAAAAAAAAAAAATAATTATATATAGCGCAACAATTAACGTTCACCGGCAGTCACTTATTTGGCAGGGCCTTCGGCCTTGGTGCGTTCCACTAGCGGATCGTAGCCGGATGCCATTTTCTCCTTGAATTGTTCGTAGGTGCGTTTACGATCAAAGTGTTTTACCCACTGGCCGGGACAGGATTGCTCAAATAGTTTGCGCATTTTCTGGCAGGCAATCGGCACCTTTTCGCCGCTTGTTGAGCTGTGCTTGGGCGCATTTTCATCCAGACACTTCCAGTATTCATCACGTGTGGACCAGCACTTGGCGCGTTCCGCTTTGTCGGGAAAACTCATTTTGGCAGTGATTTGTTGTAGTTTTGCTGTCGATGTTGGTTCTTGCTGCTTGGACTGCTATGCCGCCAGTCGCTTCACTTTTTATTTGTCCAGCAGCTTTCAGCCAATGTGCACTGTCTAAGACTTAGCTAGTATGCCTGCGTGTCAATAGGATTAATTATATTACAACGTTATTTATTGTAGTGTAAAACAAATTCCATCAGAACCAACCTCAAAATTACAAAACATACAATTGCCGAAACAGTGTGGCCAGATTTTACGTTAGGCACAACAGCTGATTAAAAATATTAAATCACAAGCAATACGGAACACAGCGTTGCATTGGATACTTTTGGCGCCAGAACTTGATTGTCTGCTTTAAGTTTACGTCAAAAGTCTGTTGAGCGCCAATTCCATTTCGGTAGTATTACAATTTATTTGATTTAATATCTCAGTGACTTATATTAAACATTATTGATTTTCAATTTCAACTAATCTGTATGGTGAACTACTAAAACATATATTTATATATATATATCAATATATATATACTTGTTCATAAAACAAAAAATAATAATAAAAATAAGCAAAACAAAACAAATAATCGCAGACCGATAACAATAATAATAATGAGTGGTGACTACTTAATTTCTAAATGTCATGCTTCGAAACCGTTATACTATATAAATGTATGTATATGTAAATGTCGCTTATATGGTACACAAATTACGTATAGAAAATGCTGTAAAAAGCCAAAGTCCAAGCGGGAGCGCAATAAATGCCCCGTTACTTGCCTATATCGAACTTTAAACATTTACGACAATATATATATAAATATATATATATATATTAAATTTTGTTAAGTGAACTCTAGGAACACTGCAAATCTTAATTGTGATGCTGATGAAGTTCGTGCTACCAATGTTCTCTCTCTTCACATTCATGTTACACCAATACAAAATAGATGTATATAGTATATAAGTATACATAAAACTTGTAGATCGTATAACTATGCTTCAATAACAGCTGACTGTGTGTCTGACTGTGTGTGTATGGTGTGTGTCTGTGTGTGTGTGTGTTACATTTCAGCATTAATAACTTATATATATATATTCGTATTTCTAGTGTACATACATACAAACATTTACACAATACACATTAAGCTAGGAGGCCACGCATAGACCTACACATAAGTACATATACGTTTTTCATTATGTATATGTTTAATTACATATTAAGTTAATTACTATCTGTAGATGTGATTCGTTAGACGCAAGGATATGATTGGAACTGAAATGAAGTGGTCGTCACATCTCAAAAATGCATTGCAGTCAATGTTTTTTATATGTATTGTGTGATATATTCCTGTGGTACCATGTCTAGCCATAGTGGACCAAGCATAGCTCGAGCCCTTGGGGGTAGGGGGTTGGTTTTTTCGTTTTTCGAAAGCTTTTCAGGCACTTGTGGCTAACGAGCGCAAAGCTGAATTCAGCCAATTACAGTTACAGTTACGTTAACATAAACATTAACAGTAACAGTGACCGCTACTGTTACAGCTGCTTTGCTGTTAAAACTATAAACAAAAAACAGGTCAAATTTTACAATAAGCGACGGGTCACAAAAGGTTACGTGTGCTTGTGTTTCTATAAATGTTTTCTAAAACATTTTGTTTTTAACTTCTATCAGTACATTTTCCAGCACAAACATAGTACATTATCCTTTTTTATATCTTTAATCGATTGCATATAATTATTAATTCTTTTTTGTTATACATGTGAATTGTGTCGTCGTTAAACTTGCAATCAAATAGAAAAAAAAATTGTATATAATGCGTATTATACGTAACTTAGTTTACAAGCAAGTTACATTTATTGTTAAATTCACGATTGTGTGTGTGTGTTGTGTGTGTGTGTGTGTGTGTGTGTGTATGGGTGCTATTGTGCTATCTCAATTAATAATGCGAAACTATATGCACATGCAATATATATATAAATATATATATGCACACATATGATACATACACATACATATATAAATATATACACATACATATATGCATATATTGTCTGCCCTGACTAGTTACAAGTTCTCCGCTTTTATCTTGACCGCACACAGAAATTAACATCTATTTTGAATATACATCTATATATCCATATAATTATGGCTTAAGCTTAATGTTAAGACACACACACACACACACACAGAAAGAATATATATTTAGCTACATACATATACATATGTGTCGCACATAAATATGTATATAAATATATGTGTGTATTGCACAATGTGACATGCAGCTTAGCGTGTAGTTTTCTTAAAAAAAAAATAAAAAAAAAAGTAAAGAAAAAAAATAATGGATAGCATTCTACAACACAACATTATCTTATAAAAACAAATGCACAATAAAAACAAAAAATAATAATAATAATAAAAATAAAAATTAATATATACATATGAATATTGGTTTAAACAATAACTATATAAAAACCTTGAAACATTTGGCAGTCGAGGGCCAACAACAAAAACAAACAAAACATCTTTAGTTTGTTGTTGCTGTTGGCTCTGATTTTGATTTGATTTGATTTGATTTTCTATATATATATATAGATATATATGCATATATATAGAATATATAAATATGGCGCTCTTTTGTCTGTGATGCTTGGCAACATGGCTTGGCCAAGAGAGTCAATGTCGTCTCCGCCTCCGCCTCCGTCTCCGTTTCGATCTTTGTCTCTGTTTGTTGTGTGTTGCGTTGTGTGTGTGTTCAATGCTCGACTGGATTTGGTTATGGAATCATTATGTTAGATCGTGTATACTAGATCAAGGGATCTATGAAATGCTGCTCCTGTGCCGTTGTCTGCCCGCCAGACGCCTCCTCGGCAGCTATTGCCGCTGCTGGCGATCCACTCAAGCTGAACGTGTGCTGCGAATATTTGCAGGAGGCCGTCAGGCACTTGCAGCCGCCTCCGCTGATACGTTGATCGGCACGCCAGAATTTTTCTCCATAATCGTAGCTAGTGAAGCCAAAAAAAAAAATTGTTAATCAAAGATTGGCCAGCTCGCATTTGGCAGCACACAAACCAGATCTCCTCTCCGGCATCGATGTCGCGGCAGGCAAAGAACGCAATTTTGGGGAAACGATAATCCTGATGCTCGTAAAAGACGCGCACCGGCAATATATTCGGCTCGCACGAGTGATTGAAGAAGCGACTGATGTTGCCATAATAGTTGGCATCAATGCAATGCCCATTGTCCAGATCAAAATAGTAGCTATCGTCGGTGCGGCGATCCGCTTCGGGTGCAGTCAATATCTCGCCCGTATAGCTGGCGACAAATGTGCCCTTCGGCACATTGGCCAGCGCACGCACGCCCCAGCCCTTGGCCGGATCCTCACACTCCACAATCTGAAGCGGCGTCCGCGTGCCGTTCTGCACGACGCGATTCTTGCAGGATAACTGCCAGGCGAGAAGAGATTTTGATTGAGCGAATGCTGCCGCAAGTTGCTTGAGAGCCTGTGGCTCTGTCTCACCTGATTGCAGCCGCAGACATCGTTGCATTCAAATATGACAGCCGGATCATCGTAGTTGAAGTCACAATTCAAACGGCTCTCGGCCGTATACCAGTTTTGGGATGAGGCGCCATTGCACTGGCACTGATCGCTGCTGCAGCTGTCCAAGCACGAGCAGATGCGCATCTGGGAGACGCGTCGATCGATTTGCACCGAATTCTGCAGTATAATGCACTTGTTAATGTACTTGAAATCCGGCCACATGAGCGCATCGGCCTCGTCCTCATGCTCCGACATGGTCAGCTCGTTGCGTACCGCCTGTATGGGACGCGCCTCGCGTCCGTTGGAGGCATCAGCACAGACCACCCGAGTGCGCAGTCCCTGCGGCCGAAAGCTGCGCATCTGCATGTTAAAGCCAACGGTGCGTCCGCATTCCGAATCCTCGTTGGGTATGCAATCAAAGGGCAACTGCTCCGCCTTGTTCTTGATCATCAGATCGGCACCGTTCGCTATCAAGGCTATGCACATGCGCGTCACCGAATGCCGGCAAGCAATGTGTCTACATGGTGCAAAAATTGTGCCAAAATTGTATTCAAATTCAATTTGCAATATGGCCCAATTACTTACAGCGGCGTATCGCCCTCCACATTCTGTACATTGCAATCGGCGCCCGCCTGCAACAGCACTGTTATCGTCTCTAGGCCGTCGTTGTGCAGCGTGGACCAATGCAGCACCGTGTTGTTGTCATTGTCGCATATATTCGGATCTGCGCCGTGATTGATCAACAGGCTGTCAAGAGAATACAATAAAAATAAATATATATATATAAGGTATACCATAGAGTAAATGCACGAAATGCTAATGTGAACAGAATTTTAGCAGTTGCTAACAGTTCTGTTATTCTATTGTTAACATACAGCTGTTAAATTTAATTAACATTTGCTTAGCTGATTCAACGCTGTTAATTGATTTTAACATAATGTTAAGCTTTGCTTAACATAACATAATGTAATGATATACCCAATAAAATGAGTTGAAAGCGTAATTGCCTCACCTAACGATATCCGTGTGCCCCAGCTCAGCTGCCCAGACCATGGCCGTCCAGCCTCCCTCATCCTGGGCATTGATAAAGCTCAGAAAGTTGGCAATGTTGCGCGAGCCGCGATAACTGTCCACAATTAATTGGGCAGCCTCCAGATTGCCCAGTTTTGCGGCAATATGAAGACTCGTCATGCCATCGGGGCCCTGCAATACGAGACGGAACGCACATTCAGTTACATTATAGGCAGAGCCTGATATGTGGTGGTATATTCCGGGTGGGTCACCTTAATGGCCACATCGGCGCCACATTGCAGGAACAGATTAAGCATGTCGCATTTCTCATTCATGACGGCGCACATGAGAGCCGTGCGCAATTCGCTGTCGACAATGTTGACAAAGTCCTGCGAGCTGGCGCCCTTGCAGAGCAGCAGATAGGCCATTTGCAGAGTGCCCGAATGGGCCACCAGATGCAGGCAGGTGCCATTTAGGAATTCACGCATACGCGTCAGCACATTGTAGTCGGCAGCTGTTGGTCGAAATGATCGAAATTAAACGTTGAGCAGAAGTACAGAAAGGATACTCCAGACTCTTACCGAGAATCTCGGCAACACGCTCCAGATCATCGTTCTGCACGGCGTAGTACATGTCGCGCGAATTGAACTCGGTGGTCACCCGACCGCTGGACGAGACGATCCGATCACGCAGCACCACATTCATCACCGACTCGGGTATCAGCTGCTCAAAGTTAATGATGTTCAGTGCCTGACCAGCAGCAGCAGCCGTTCCCTTGCCGCGTGCTCCACTCGACTTGCCGCTGTAGCTGCCGGCGGCCGTTGCCGCCTTGCCGCGTCCACCAGCTGTCGGCTTGGCGGAGCTGCTGCCTCCGCCAGCTGTGCTGCCGGCTGCCTTTGGTCCGCCAGCTGTGCTGCTGCTAGCTGCATTGGCGAACTGCGTCAAATGCGCGGAGGTGGTCAACTTGGCGGGTTTGCTGCGGGTAAACAAGAAAAGGAAAAGGTCAAAATGACGCATGGAATAAAGGGCAAAATGCGGCAAATGGAAGATGCAATTGAAGAATTCCCATTGCTCAACTGCCATGAGCCATAATTTGGCGACTTTCTTTGTTGTATTCTAGCTGAGCTTACATTTTGGTCTTCTGTGCGGGCAGAAAGACCGGCAAGGTTTGGCATTTCATGGTGACCGTTGAGGTGCGCTCCGGCGTGTCCAGGCCGCAGTGCGGACACTTGAGCACCAGCAGGGGGCTGGCATAGTTGCCGCCAGGGCCGCCGGCATTCTGTGCCTGTTGTGCATCATATGGACTATTGAGTATGAAGCGTTGCGCGCAATCCGGATGAAAGAAATGCTGCTGCTTGCACAGCACAAATTTGCCCTGCAACGAGAATAATCATTGAAGACGAGAATCATTGCTGCGTTCGATTGAAGGAGCAGAAGATCAAGCTAGACGAACAGCTATAACTTACCTGTGTGCAGAATATGCCACAGCCGGCACAGCAATTGTGCGATTGCAAGCGCTTCTTGTGCTCATCGCAGAGTATCATATAGCCGACACGCTGGCTGGGACGCAGCAGATTGTGCACCTCGGCGGCCAGTTCGTTGCAGCAGCCAATCTTCTGCTCATCGATGTTGTCGATGCCGCAGCAATATGAGGTATCCGGCGCATTCCGGGCATAGTATTGTGAGCCGCGCTGGCACAGGCAAATAAACTTGACGGCAGCCGAGGAGGAGCCGGAACCGGAACCGGAAGCAGCAGCAGCAGCCGCAGCCGCAGCAGCTGAGGTGCTGGCAATGGCATCGCTGGCATCTGTGGCCGCCAGAATGGCACTGTTCAGCCTATGCAGCTGGCCATGCTCCAGCGTTGTGGCAGCTCCCGCTGCCGCTGCCGCCGCCGCTGCTGCTGCTGCTGCTGCTGCTGCTGCTGTTGTCGCATTGTTGCCGCGCACGGCCACACGTCGCGTCAGCTTGGGCGGCACAGCTGGCGGCGGCGGCGGGGGCGTCTGCTGCTTCTGTGCAGCGGGCTCTTTCGAGGCATTGCGCAGACGCAGCGTGACGCTCGGCTTGCCCACCTGAACACGCGTGGTCGGCACGAACTCCTCGTTGTCCGTGTTGGAGCTGTCGTTGTCGCTGGCCTCCTCGCTGTTGTTGCGCCGCAGACCCAGATGCTTGAGATGCTTCTCCTTTTGCTTGGCCAGCTTGCGCAGCTGCTTCTTGTTCAGTTTGCGCTCCTCGGGCGAGCGATTGGCATTCAGTTTGGCCGCTTTGACGTCGCTCAGGAATTGCTCAAAATTGGGACAGGGACGCAGTTGACTCTTCGCCAGCAGCGCTGCGTCCGAATTGTCAATGTCACGTTGCGCTTTGGAGAACAGACGCTTCTTGATGGCGTTCGTGCCCGCCGGATGCTGTTCCAGTCCGCTACCGCCATCCGATTTGTCGCTCTTCTGACGCGATGTCGATGAGTTCGAGCCGCCGCCGCCGCCTCCAGCACTGCAGGACTGCAGCGGCGTCTCAAAGTGGAGGGCATCCCCGTCGGCCGTTGACTCCCAGTGTGTCATGCGCTCGATGTGCTTCGTCTCGAACTCGCAGCGCAGCTCATCGTTCTCCAGTATTTTCGTTGTGGGCTTGATGCGCCGCTTCGAGCGCTTGGGCAGCTGTTGCTGCTGCTGCTCCATCGCGCTGCTCGAAGTTGCAGCCGAAGTGCTTGCCAGCGCCAGATTTGCTGTTGTCGCGGCGCGCTTGTTGCCATTGGAGAGCGCCACAATGGCAATGCCTGCACTCCCGCTGCCAGCCGCAAGGAGCACAGTTTGTGCCGCTGAATCCGCTCGACTCGCCGGCGGCGGCAGCGGCTGCACTGGTATCTTTGCCTTCCGTCCACGCTTCTTGGGCGGCGTCTTCTCGTCCAGCGTGACCGCAGCCGCCGATAGCTGCTCAACAGCTGCAGCTGCAGCTGCTGCAGACTGCGGTGGCGGCGGCGGCGGCGGGGGCTGCTGCACCGGCAGCTCACTGACGGCCGGCACCAGCGGCTCGGTTTTCACGTCATCCGTCCAGGCGTTAGCCTGATCCAAACGATTGCCGAGTCGGACGCTGCGTCGCATTCTTTTGCCATCGCTGCTGGGCGCTGGGGCCAATGCGCCGGCCTCATCGTCCTGTTCGGTTTTGATGACCAGCGCCGTTGTGAAGTCCGTTGGCAGCTCCTCCTCGGGCGGCTTGCGCTTGCGGCCCGCTTTGCGCTCCACTGCAGCCGCCGGCTGTGGCGAGGCAGCCTCCTCCTGGCCAAGCAGCGGCTGGGCCAGAGGCAACGCCGCGCTCGCCAGCTCCATAACCGTACCGGCCGGCTCCAGAGCTGCATCCGTTTCGGGCTTTATCTTTTTGGCACGTCCGCGTCCGCGTTTTGGTGCTGGCGGCGCATTTGCTGCATTTGCCTCCATGTCGCCGCAGCCAGCCGCTTTTTCCGGCTCCTTTTTAACATCGCTGGCCAGTTCGTTGTTCTCCGCGGGCATCACTTGCTCCTGGCTGCCCGTTGCCTGCGGCTCCTCCTCTGGCGTCGGCATCGGCGACGTTGGCTCATCTGCAGCCGAGGGCGTTGGCGTGGGCGTGTCTGTGGGCCGCGGCGTGCGGCGCAGGCGACGCATCGACGCATTTTGTTCCTGTGCCAAGCATAAGAGACGCATATTAGCATTTGGGGAATACCAGACAACAGGTGATAATTAGCCTGCCCGAGTCACACACTCAAATCGCAGCGAATCGCAGCGAATCATTCAAAGCAACTTTCCTTTCGTTTCATTCACGCATTCGTTCAGATATTCATCCTCCAATTTTTTTCTTTCTTATTGTTTTCTTTTTTTTTTTTTTATTTTTCTTTATGGACGAGAGCTCCTGTTGCCCAAACGTATTGTGTGCGAATCTAGGCAAACTCTTGCGTTCCATTCGACAAGTCCTGTTGCCCTGGCAACGGGTCATACAAAACACTTGCTCAGCCGGGAGCATAGCTTGGCGGTGTGGGCCTCCTGACTGGGAGACTGCGAGAGGGTGGCGCCAGTTGCCAAAGGCCACACACATATAAACCCACCCCCTTCCCGCGCCTAGCAGTTATGCATAAAAGATGCTTGCTCCCAGCAAAAAGCAAAAGTGTATTCATATACTGGCCAAACTTACAGTAGACACTCGTTAAGCTGCACACAAATGCGATGCAAAAATTTAATTGAATTTCGATATCGAGCATTTTCACAGTACATAAAGTAAGATAGTATATATAAAGCATATATATATATAGATTATATATACCGTACTTCTAATATACAGTAAATACTCGAAAAGTCCGACATATTCTTCAGTTGATATATGAAATATATTTTTTGCTGCTGAGAATTGAAATTCATTTGAAAACCTGTTGCAATAATTATTCTTAACACCAAATATTTGGAGAGAGATTCTTGTGTAATAAACAAAAAAATATTAATTATGAAAAAAATACAAATTGAAAATTTGCAGTTTCCATATTTTTGGGTTATCTTTTTTTTATATACGTATGTATTTGCCAGGAAATACAAAAACTTTGCTCGCTATCATGAAAAATGTTGAGAATGTTAATTCAAACCTAATAACATTTTACACATATTTCGAATGTTAAAATTTGACTTGCATTGCTTTGCTGTGAGAATGTTAATTCAAATAAACGTATTATCATAGGCCATGTTTCGAGTTGTGATACTAATTCGGATCGAAGAATATGTGCTGTATTATATATGTATGCCCGGCTCTGGCATGTCAACTGTTTGATAAGTGGCAAAATACCAGTTTAAGAAGCTCGCCACGAAACTGGTTCAATAAAAATAAAGAAGGCACATTTCTTTTTAATGCCAGGCATTACATACATACATACAAACACGCCCATAGATAACTGCATGTATGCATGTATATGCAGATATTTTCGGCGGTCGTTCACCCAAATGAATTCACATTTTAACTATGGCTGCTCTATGGGGCTATACTAGCCAGTTATTACAGGGTCTTCGGTGTATATATGACATCACTTTTCCGCCCATTTTCCATGGGCAACAACTAAAAATGTTCACGATGAGTTTCAGGCAGGCTAACCTTGACAATTTTCACGTATTTTCCACAGCTTCGTGTGGAAATGATCGGTTCTAACTAACCGTTGGAAACTTCTTTAACCTTCAGGTACAAGAAGAATGATAATCATGTAGGACTTGGGTTATTAATAATTCTTGTTCTAGTTGGTCCAAAGATAATTTTGATGCCATGAACCCATTGAAAATGGGTAAAACAGGCAGATGGAAGCATCTTCGACCCCATAAAGTATACATATATATATATATATATTTTTGATCAGCATCAATAGCCGAGTTGATCTAGCAAAGATCTCAGAATCTACAAGAGCTACAGACTTGGTTTTGGAATTGAATATATGCAGGTTCGTTTCCGATAATCGATAGCTTGTCAGGCAATCGATAACAATCGATATCGAAAGCCTGTTTTATGAGCAATTTTGATATGGACCTATAGCTATATATATGTATATGTATATCATCGCATTGAAGAGAGTTCAGGGTCTTTAACATTTTCATAGTATTACAAAGCAGTTCTTATATTTCTTAGAAATACACAAACACTTTACAGTTCTCTCTATATACGATTTGTAAGTCCTTATCAACTGCATAAGTTGATGAAAATTCCCAGCAACAAGCAACTATATATATATATATATATATATATATATAAGACCGATGCGAGCACAGTTCGATAATGAGAACTTCTGAAAGAATTCTTAAATTACGCATATGAATCTAAAAGTAAACTCGGCGGACCTTCTCCGGAAGGACTACTGTAAATGGCGCAAATTGAAGAGCCGCGGAAATAAATTATTCCCTTTCCATATACGTAATTAGCTAAACTAGCATTATAAATGAATATGAAATTGATGAAATGGCCTATTAAAATCAAATTTATTTCATATTGATTTTCTCTTGATATATGCCAAAAGCTATTTGCACCTATTCCCAGACGAACCTGTGCAAATTCAGGAATACATATGTATATATGTATATATATATCCATATACAATTAGGTATACTATACAGCTTTGCCCGGGCCAAGTTGTTTTCGCCAGGTTTTGGCCAAGTTACTTTTGCAGACATTTTCCACCCGGCAGTTATTTTAAAAAAGTGCAATTGTGGGATTCAAAAATCTGGGCATAGTGTAGAGCTCTGAAAATTTGCACAATGGGTGCATATTCAACTTGACCACAGATGACCTTTGACCCACATACATACATATGTCATAGGGTGAATATGGGAAAAGTGTAAGGCACCTTGCAAATGAATTCTCATAAGGATCTTGGAAAATGACAACAAACTTTCATATTATCGTTGTCCGCCTATTTTACTCACATGAGAAACAGATGGAAACTAGATTTTACATAAGATTTCTAGAGCTTGGACTATGAAAGATAATGTTTTTGTCTGTCTTTGTTTTATTGTTAAGCAAAGTCACCAATTAGAACTTCATTTATACTGCCAACATTATCGCACTAACTAAATTATATAGACATCCGATTGGAACGATTGGGTGAAAATTAAATTTTTAACTGTTCTTTCTTGCGTCAACAACTGTTGCCTAGACTACACACATGCATACATACATACATACAATACAGAACGGGATATACCGTTTTTTTTTTTTTTCGATTAGCCTCTCTCGCGCCGCGCTCTCGGAATCCATTTTCGATAAACGAGTTGCCAGTGCTGCCCAATTCTGTTTAATTGGGGCGCATTGGCACAAAGTAAAACGGAAAGTAAATTAAACGAACTACAAAAATTAAAAGAATTCGACTTACACTAACCCATACATGCATACATACATACATACATTCACACACACACACACACGCACGATTGTGCATACAAAAGCACACGCGCACACAAACAAATACACTTACGTTTTTATCAGCACTGGCTTGCGCTGTTGTTGCTGCTGCTGCTGCTGCTGCTATTGGAGCTGCGACGTCGTCGCTAGCAGCAACCGCATTCATCGAAGTCGAATCTGTTGCGTCAGCGGCGACGTCGAAATTTTCGCTGCTGCTGCCGATGCTACTACTACTATTGGCAGCAGAATTGACAACAAGTGGAGCGGCTGGCGCTGGCGCTGCTGCTGGCACTGGGGATGCCGTTGCCGATGATGCTGCGACTGTAACCGACAATTTGACCTCGTCTGTTGCTTCTGCTTCTGCTGCGTCTGCGCTTGGTGCGCACTGCGCAGTCAGCGTTTGCTCCTGCAGCGGCTGCTGTAGCTGTTGCTGTTCCTCTCGAAGCTCCTCTTTGGCTGTTGCATTTGCGGTTTCCATCTCAGTTTCAGTCTTTATGCCTTCGCCTGTTGTTGTTGTTGTAGTTGTTTTTGTTGTTTCTGCTGCTGTTGCTATGGAAATGTGCGCAGACGGCGTGGCCAGTTCGGCCACAGCTGCTGCGCTTTTGCACGCTTCCTGCTCCAATTTGACTGCCGCTGCTGCTGCTGCTGCTGCCGCCTCTTCTTCTTCTTCTTCTGTTGCGGCAGCAGCATTGTCATCGTCGACTGCCGCTACTTCAGCTGCTTCGGCTGCGCACTCGGCAACGTCATCGTCATTACCGTTTTTATTGTCGGCTGTTGTCGCTGCCGCTGCCGTCGTTTCGTTAGACGGCGGCGACGGCGACGTCGTCGCCACTGCTGCTGCTGCTGCGACTTCTTTTACTGGCGTCTCGCCAGTCACTGTCACTGTTGTTGCTGTTGCTGCTGCTGCTGCCGCCGCCACCGTCGACGCAATTTGTTTGGGTATTTCTGCACGGTCGACGTTAGCTTCGCCGTCGCCGTCGGCATCGGCGTCGACGTCAGCGTCGCTAGCCTGACTTTGGCTTTGGGTCTGGCCTTGAGGTAGTTGCTGGGCGCCGTCTGCAGCTTCCGCCTCGCATTTGACTGCCGCATCGAGCTTCGGTGGCGACTGTTGTTGTTGTTGTTGTTGCTGCTGATGTTGCTGCTGCTGCGCCTCCTGTTGCTTCTCGTGCAATTCGTCGCTCTTGTGACATTGCTTTTTATCCTTGTCCTTACAAGCAAACTGATTATGGGCCAAATTGCGCCACTTCAGCGTCTTATCCTCGGCCAGGTCCAAGTTTAGCAGCGTGCCGCCCTCGGCGGTGCTGGTGGCGCAGTCGCTGTTAAATTTGCTCGACATGCTGTTTAACAGCTCCGCAATGTCCGTCATCTTTTATTTTGTATTTTTATATTTATTTTAAGTTTGTTTTTGATTTTGTTTGTTTGCTTTTTGATTTGATATATTTTTCGTTTTGTTTTGATTTACAGTTTATTCAAGCTGCGCTTTGAATTCTGCTGCGCTGCTATTGCAAAAGTGTGTGCATAAAAATATATGGAATCAATACTTTGGTATTCACCACGACACACGGCATCGATGCCGGAACGGAACAGGCGTTTGTGAACGGGAAGGGAGCTGGCACTGGGGGAGGGCTAAGCTACTGACGATAAGATTTGGACTCGCAGCGATTTGCTTTTTCTTTCTTATTTTTGATTTCTTCAGCATTTTCATAATGAAAACGAAATGAAAGGCCAGATCAGGCCAGGCAGAGGCAGACACGACAAAAAAAAACATAAAAAATAAAATAAATAACCAAAGCACCAGGCAAACAGCAGGCGCTGTGCACAGTGCACCGCAACAAAAAAAAAAAAAAAAGAAAAAAAAAAAGAAAAACAAAAACAATAATGTGTGTGGGCAACCCACTTGTCTGCCGTAAGGAGGCGCCTTTTTATGAGCAGCCAGCCCACCTTCGCAGGGAAGGGGCCACGCACACAGAGACACAATACGCTCGCACCCATGCACATACACATACACGCACACGCACACACGAGCCAGCGGCGCGGTTGGAGTTGACGTTGACACCACGAGACGACGTCGACCGCGACCGCGACTGCGACCACTGCGTCGCTTTAGCTTTGCGTATTATTATAAATATATAACATGTAATTTCGATTGCAGTTGCCATTTCCAAGTATTTATTATAATTCATTAATTCTTTAGCAATGGTAGATGCGTATACGTACAACAAAAAAAAACCTCTGCCTGCCTTCACTGATTCTGATTAGCTCACATGCTGCTGCTGCTGCTTTTTTTTTTTTTTTTTTTTTTGTATGAATATGGCCAGCTTTATTGTTGTTTTACTTTTCGTCTTGCTCTTCGTCTTCTTGGTTCTGGCTGCTAAACGACCGTGGTGGCTGCTCTGTCGCTGCTCTGCTACTACTACTGCTGCTGCTGCTGCTGCTAAAGCAGTTATACATATGTATGTAGTTGTACTTGTAGTAGTTGTAATTACTTATAATTGTTGATTTGGATTTTTCTTTCTGCTGAAATATTCAATGCTTCCTCCCAAATGAATACGAATACGAGTTGGATGCAAATTGAGTGCTGTTGCTTTTACTTAGCTGATATTTAAGTTCGTCATTTTCACACCTAAGCACAACGAAATCAATTTGCACTCACACAAAATGCTGCTCAGTTCTGCAGTTTTCGATTTGTACAGTATAATTATAATTTAACTAATATTGTTGTTACAAAAGAAAATAAAGAGAAACACACACACGCACACGCACACTTTGTTTTAGGTCCGTCCGCCGTTATCCGCCGCCAGCACATACTCAGTGCGTAACTCTCGGCGAACCGTCTTGGTCGTCTCCTCGCTCGCTCACACTGCTTGCTGTTGGTAGCTGTTGTTCATACATACACACATCAAACAAAATGTATAATTTCTGTAAGTTTCTGGTATTTAATTTTGGTATTACTTTTTGGTATTTTGCCATTAGGCAGGTGTTGGATGGATGTTTAAGTTTGAAATTAACATTGACTACAAAACTAATTCACCATTCATTAGACGAAAAGTAAACTGCACTTTTTGGTGTACAAATGTTTACTTATAGCGCGCTTAGAAGCGCATTCTGTATATGCATGTGCCGCAAATTTACGACACAAACGCATAGACTCAGCATAGAGTATGGCTATGCATGCCACTTATTTTTTCCGTATTTATCTTATTTACATTTAATAACTCTATAAATTTGAACAAATTGAGCGCGCACTGTAAAGTGAGTTGTTTTGGTATTTTATGTTCTTCTATATACGAAATTTGGAATTTTTAACAGAGTTTAGATGCGTGCATACTGCTGGTAGTAAATTTTTAGCATTCCCTAGCTCCTCATCGCGTGCGAATTGCTCATTTTCATTCATTTGATAACAGCATGTAAATAACATGTTCTTTCCGGAACCAGCAGTTCTGAAATTTTACATTCTGTTGAATTTAAGCAAATATATCTAAATTACTTTTAGAAAATTAAAAAAAAAATTGCATTAAAATGTGCAGATATTCAAGAAAGTTATTTGCAAATATTAATAAAAGAATAAACTGACCACACGACGAAGATAAGCCGAAGAGTCAGTTCACGGCAAAAAGGTTCACGGTCTTCGGCTGAGCCAGTTCCAGTTCGCAGCGACAGCAGTTCAAGTTACGTAGGCGCGTAAGATATGTTCTTTTCCAAAAAGTAAGTTAAAAAATGCGCCTCAAGCACTGCTCAATTTAATATTAATGATTCAGTGGATCAGAACCCATCCGATTTGGTCAACGCTCATCATTGGCGCCGGTACCATTGCCGCCTCCGAGGTGCTCTGGTATTTCTACAATTATGTACACGACCTGCTGAAATGGCAGCAGGCTCAGGTCCACGAAGTGCACATGTTCAACGAGCTGGGCTTTGAGTGTTTCCAGGAGCATCGGGCGCACAGCCAAAGGGGTAAATTTTTCACATGTCCAAACACGCACTGCACCCAGCGCCATATCGAGCGAATTATCGAACTGCTGGCACGTGCCAAATTCAGCATTGACCTGGCCATGTATTCATTGAACTCGCCGGAAATTCTGCTTGCCCTGGGCAAGGCACTGCAGCGCAATGTGGCGATACGCCTCATTGTTAGCCAACCCGTGGTGACACCGATCAATGGCAATATTTTCAATTTGATGCGCGCCGGCCTTAAGGTCCGCAGCCAGCCATTTGTTGGTCTCATGCATCACAAATTCTGTGTGATCGATGGACGCACTCGGGTCGATCACATTTGGAGCCTGAAGCGACGCTCGTATGATCCACCGGCCACGTACAGCGTGGTCATCAATGGCTCCGTCAACTGGACACAGGGCGGCTTTGGTGCCAATTGGGAAAATCTGGTCATCACCTCCCATCATCGGATCGCTAGCGAATTTCAGGCTGAATTCGATCGCATGTGGGAGACATTTGTCGGCAGCGATTAACCAAGCGAATGTGCTCCAAACGTGCTCCCAAGCTATTATATGAAGTATCTGCCCTTTGATGAGCTTTTGCTTGTGCTGGCCGAAAATTCGATGAATTTGTTGTGTATATATTAGTAATAGTATTAAGTGCTTAATTAATAGAATTATGTTCAATTCTCATGCCAAGAATCGGCCGAACTAAATAAAATACATTGTTATCATCTTTTGGGTTCATCTTAAGCTTTTAAATAATTTGTTTATCTAAATTCTAAATCATTCTAAATTGAAAATCACATAACAGATCACTTTTCTTTGTTTGGCAGCTGTGGAAAGTAGCCATTACAATGGACACATATAGTAGACACCCTGGCACTTGGGACACTTGCGCCGGCGGCAATTCTGTGCGCTAGCCGGCTCCGGTTGCAGGGATTTAAAGTAGTTGCCAATGACATCGAGAATCTCGTAACGACGTTGCTCTAGAAAGTGAACAGCGCAGTTCTCATAGCTGTTGATGCAGTGCATCAGCATGCGATAGAGCACCAGCTCCGTGGAGACAAACGTGTTCAGATTGCGATCAATGCTCTCCACATTCTGTTCGACAAAGGTGCGCGTCAGCTGGAGCAGCAACTGGACCGCCTGCTCGCTAAAGTAGCGGGTCAGGCTGTCGAGCACATCCGTGAAACTGCCCAAATGGCCAATCTGCTGGACAAACTTGTTGCCCAGCTGGCTGGCCAGCTGCTGCATATCCAGACGCAATTGCCCGCCGGCCGATAAATTAACAAAGCTGGGCAGAACGCCAGCAGCAGCTGCAGCGCCCAGAACGGTGGCGCCTTGCGCCAAATGCGTATGGATCTTGTGCAGACTGAGCAGCGCCTCCTTATAGGGTATATCATTGATGATGCGCACAATGTCGTACTTGCCGCCGGTCTTGTGCTCGTGCAGCTTGGCCGTCTCCTGCGCGATGCGCTCAAACGCTTTGCGGCTCTGCTGGCGCAGTGCCCGACGCAGGCTATAGCCATTGGTTGCCTTGGAGGCGATGCGCAGATTGTTGACCGAGTGCGTGAATATGAGCAGGCTGGAGGCAATCTGCATTATATCGTAGTTGTTTAGCGGTTGATCGTCGCTGATCTTCAGGTACAGCTCGTAAACGCCATTTGCCACACCTGTGCCGGAGAGCACAATCGAGGACACATTGATGCCCTTGACCGCCAGATTGCTGGCTATGCCTGGTCTGCCACGTGCAATGGTTCTTATTGCCGTGTTGGCACCGGTGACACCCAGGCCGGCAACACCGCCCGCCACGCCCAACCAGCTGCTGCGTGCCTCGCTGTCCGCCAAAGATGTGGACTGACCGTGCCAGCGGCGATCGATTAGCCGCGAGGCGGAGCGCACCGTATTATACGCAGTCGTCGAGACGCCAACAACAGTGGCTGCCATCAGTATGGGTCCAGCGACGGGCAATGCCAGGGTGGCCGCCACTGGCACCGTGGCCACAATGCCACCAATTGTTACCAATTTATCACTGACATTCAGCACCTTCTGCTTCAACCATGATGCGGGCGACGCCTGCACCATTAGCTGCACCTCGTCGTTGCTAAACGTATAGACACCCTGGCTGGGCGCTATCATGGTGCCTCCGGGCAGGGCATTGTTGCGCACATAGTTCTGCCAATTGGCGTAGACACGTCCCTGCTCATCGATAAAGATCATGCAGCAGCCCTCGCTGTTTCCACCATCCGGTCGCATGCATTTCCGCGTACGTATCACCGGATGGCAGCTGTAGCTGGTCGACTGCAGTGCCAATGCCGGGTCCCTCTCCTTGGTGACCAGCACATAGATAATGGCAGACAGCAGGGTGCCATTCGTATAGATGCGCTGCTTCCATATGTTCTCGAACAGCAGCTGGCGCTGCTTAGCCAGCGCCTTGGATCTTTGCCCCTCGCCGCTGCCTTCGTTCTCACAGATCAGATTCGCCAGCTTTTGGTGCAGCACGTCCGCCTGCTCGGGCGCCAGCCTGTGGGCAATTTATTTGATAAGCTTTCATTTTATACACACATATAATCATAAACATATATTATGTATATGTTTTCATAACCTACGAGTCCCAGATAATTTCGGAACGCAAGCCGCTGCTCAATGCAAAGTCCCGTTGTACGTCGTAGGCGGTGCGCGCCATGTTTTCGGTCATAATACGCAGAGAGTGCACTAAATTACAGTTAAAAATAATGCATTTGTATTATAATTGAGTTATATTCTTGTTGTTTCGGTTATTATTGAACTGTTTAAAAGAAACTGCGCGCACTCGCACAATTAGCTATGGCAAATTGGGAACTGGGCGCGCAACATTAATCGATTCAACAGGGTTGCATTACGATAAGTCGATTATTGCCGCGCCCACCAAACTCACAAACAATTTGAACACATGGGTTCAATTCACTTTATTTTTAACAAAATATATAAGAGTACACTTTGTTTAAAACAGTTGAACGCGAGTATACTGAGTTTTTACAACGAAATCACAAATTGTCAATCACAATTTGTTAATTCCAAACTATAAACAAATAAGAATATGACAATAACCCCATAATGCTGTGCACAGTTCAAAACAGTAAAAGGTTGTGCATGTGACGTCACGGGTTCAGCATTGCCGCTGCGTAATCTTCTTTAGCTAAGCAACTGCTGCTGCATATCGATAGATGTATTGCTACTCTCGATGATTCGATGTCGATAGCACGATTCTTAAATGGAAAACATCGATGCATTTTGTGCATCCCTAGTTTTCATAATATTTTCATTTATCAGTTTTTGTTTTGGCCGCAAACACACACACACACACACCATACACACGCACAAGCACATACATACATACACACACACAAACACACACACACACACACAGAGCTCTAAGATAATAGAATGTTTGAAGATGCGCATGCGCGGCTGCAGATTGCTACCAATTGCCATATCGTTAATTGTATTCATCATTTTGGGCATCAGCTACATAATAAGTCCGCTGCGTGAGAGTGCCGCCCGCCGCAAACTGGAACGGGATGAGTTTCTTGTCCATTTGCCAGCCAACAGCGACGAGGACAAGTCAACAGTTGCGGACAGCGCTCACCTGGAAAGGAAGCAGCAGCAGCAGCAGCCAGGAGCTGGTCCCCTGCTGAATCTGAGCGATTTTGATTATCTGCTGGCAAGCAATGTGTGTCGGCGGGCCGAACGGGAGCTGCTGGGTGAGTCGTGCCACGCATAGCTGGCTGCTTGTCCAACTAATCGTGCAAAATCTTCAATTTTCATATACCACCCAGCTGTACTCATTGTCACCTCGTATGCGGGCCATGATGCATTGCGCGCCGCGCACCGCCAGGCGATTGCCCAGAGCAAGCTGGCCGAGATGGGTCTGCAGCGCGTCTTTCTTTTGGCCGCGCTGCCGAAACGTGAACGCTTCCTGACCCAGGCGCAACTGGTTAGCGAACAGGCGCGCTTCGGGGACCTGCTGCAGGGTAACTTTATGGAGGACTATCGCAATCTCAGTTACAAGCATGTGATGGGTCTGCGCTGGGCGGCCGGTGAATGCCGGCAGCGCGCCAAATTCATCATTAAGCTGGACGATGACATCATCTACGATGTATTCCATTTGCGGCGCTATCTTGAATCTCTGGAGCTTAGCCAGCCGGCGCTGGCCACCAGCAGCACCCTGCTGGCGGGCTTTGTGCTCGACGCTAAGCGGCCGATACGGGTGCAGGCGAGCAAATGGTATGTGACACGACAGGAGTATCCGCACGCCCTCTATCCGGCCTATCTATCCGGCTGGATGTATATCACAAATGTGCCCACTGCCGCCAGGCTGGTGGCGGAGGCGGCACGCATGCCCATCTTCTGGATCGATGACACCTGGCTGACGGGCATCGTGCGCACACGGCTCGGCATTCCCCTGATGCGGCACAACAATTGGTATTCGGCCAATGCCGAATTCCTTGACTGCTGTCTGCGCGACCTCAGGCTACATGGCTACGAATGCGAATACTTTGCGGGACCCAATGGCGGCGATGCCAAGCTTCTCGTTGAGTTTCTGCACAACGTGGAGAAGTGCTACTTTGACGAATGCATTAAACGGCCACCGGGCAAATCACTCCAAGCAACGTGTTTGGCCAGCGTCAAATCGCCGGCTCTGGAGCATGGAATCGCTGACATTCAGCCGCTCAAACTGAGATGACCTCCAGTTGCCCAGATTTCTTCATTTAGGCTAAGGCATTTTAGGCTTAGGTCAGTCCATGTGCAAGCTGGCAGCCATTGACTCGTCCACATCGCTGCCAGTCATCGTATGTAATATTTAGACTGTAGGATCGAAAAGTGCACCGATCAGCATATACTCTAACTTATTTTGTAGCTAACTTAACGCACAACTGATTATATTACTGACTACAATCTGTACACAGAAAACTATTTGTCCGGATTGACTGACTTCGATTTCGATCGATATCTTTTGACAACTTTTTCACACTTATCGCCAAATCCACCGCCTTACGTGGAAATGGGTCCACTTGGCGAAATTCAATGCGATTTGTTGTGAGCATATTTTGAAAGCACCTCCCTAAAAACTCCATGTTCTCAACTAGCTATTTTGAAAATTTCACGTGCTGTTGCGGAAAATGCGTGAAAAATGGTTGTCTGTAACAATTTTACTTTCCATCCGATACACACCGGGTAGCTCACGTTAGCGTAACATATTTCTTTATTCTAATAATGCGGTCAAATCCCAACGTAATAAAGTCATATACCCATTGCAAAATAGTAAACAGGGGTCTACCGATTTTTTGCAGCATCCGTGCCACTGTCGATTTTAGAGACTTCCGCCGTTTCCGCCCGTTTCCGTGAATCGATAAATATCGATTTTTAGTTTATAGTTCTAGGTACATATTGATGCTTTAAAAAGTCAAAGTGTTCGTAACATCAATTAGATATGTTTCACTGCTTTCGTAATTAAGAGCTTTAATCTAAGGTGTACGACTGGGATATACCCTGTAAACTCGCCACTGTGACTGTACCCTTCGGCCACACCACGAAAAATTGATCGTAATCATTTTGGTAGTTAGTTAATATGAACACAACCCCATATAAATCTCTTCTTTTTTTTATATATATACTCCCAATCTGCATATTATAAGAAATCCTTTCTATCAAATCTGCTTTTTCCATTTCCGAGATATACCTAAAATATCGTATTTTAAAATCGATACTTATCGATAATATTGAAATGGGCAATTATGTCGAAAGCAAAAGATAAACTTGTCCTTTGTGTGTATATATCGAATTCCTATTCTCACTCTCTTCAAGCGTATTAAATCTTCTTGAAGAACATCTATATATCGATAGTTATCGATCCTGCTTAATCGGTAGGTTAAGGGCTGTTGCATACATTGCCACAGCCCGAGTATATCCGATAGAGTCATTTTTAATTGATATAGAGTATAGCTTTAAAATGAACTAAGTCAAGGCTAGCCTGGTTGAATAACCTGCATGTCCTGAATAACTTAATTGCAGCTTAAGTATTTGGCAGATTTATGGATTATACGAGATTGGCCCGAAATGAGATTTTGAATTTTGTTCAAAAGTTGAGGCCACAAAAATGCTGTTTTGCTGCGAAACAGCATATTTGCCTGACACGCTCGAAAGGGGTCGACTTTTCTTTTATTTGCTGTCGTGTCTGGTATGTGGTGGTAGGGGGAGCGGAGGGGGGGGGGGGGGGGGGCTGAGCTTGATTTGCCAAACTAATCAGCACTTTGTGTTTGTTGGCAGTGCGAATTATGCAAATTTAGTTTGGGTTGCTGTGTGGCCAACATCAAAGCCGGAACTTGGACCGGCGACCGACCGGGCCACACATGGCCAAAAAAAAGGCCTGCAAACAGCTGACAGCAAACAATTTCCCACACCCCCGCACACAGAGGTTTTCCATTTGAAATGAATTCTTGGTTTGGGACATTTGTAAAATGTCTGAAAGGATTTCTCATGTCTGCCGCAAGTGCGATATGTCCGGAAATTGATATTGAAATGGGCATGATAATGAGCTTCGAATTTGTTTTCCTTATTTCACATGTGTGTGTGTGTGTGTGTGTGTGCGTGTGTGTGTGTGTGTGTTGACGTGCCATATAATGCATTTAAATGTAACGCAAATATATTTCATTTGGAAGAAACAGAAACTGGCCTCCGCAATAGCTCGCCTTGAGTATAGCCTTTGTGGCTGGAAATCCTGAACAGGATTTATGTCTCACATTTGCTTTCTATACCCATTGTGCGTTTAGCTTAGCGTATGGGGTAGATCAGGCGCGCTGAGCTGCCAAAATGTTTATACAAATCTGTTGAAAATTTCGTGACAAGTAAACTATTTTTCTGTTTAGGTTTTCATCTTTGGGACATTTTGTTGTTATCGCGTATTTATCTGCCAGGCGATACATAGACGATATCTCACGCTATTTACTATTTACTGATGGAAGATAAGAAAGCGATAAATAGGCGATATGCACTTTTTATTAATGGAAGATAAGAATGGGATAAATAGGCGATATCACTTTATTTCTGTTGATTTCTGCTCATTATCGATTTACAGGGTATTTGCATGTCAAGCCACGGAGAGTATGAAATTTGTTATAGCTTTTGTTTTACCTGTCCGCGTGCAGCATTTGGATTGTGGATTTTGTGAATTTTGCGGCTCGGACGACAGTTCGAGCATCAAATTGGCTTTTGTGCAGTTGTCCAAATTGATGGCTCTCCATAATAGATGGGCGGGAAATTGAGAGGGGGGGGGGGGGGGCGCTTGTAACTGATAGCCGAAGGGGCCAGGACTTACAACAAATGCAAATTCCTGCTGCATGCATGGGGCGGGAGGTGGGTTGGGTCAAGTTAGAAAGATTTTCCTTTTCGCTGACTTTCCGCAAGACTTTTCGTTTCGTTTCGTTACGCTCTCAATGCCCTCACCCCCCCCACTATCGCCCCTTGCAGTCCCTGAGGCATGTTTCCGGCGGCGGCGACTTCATTACCAATTCGTTGCCAGGCAAAAAGTTGGCAGCCTTCGACTTAAATGAATTTCTTTGCATTTTTTGGCTCAACTTTTTAGTTTAATTAATTTTAAAGCCAGTTCGTGGACAAAACAAGAAAAGAAAAATTAAAAAAAAACAACAAATGCGCACTTAGTCGCGAGTAGTCGACCGACAGATGCCCTGTACCTCCGTGCTGCGTTTAGCCGCATCATTTATTTCCGTTCGGTTTGATCAAAAGGCAGGTGAGAAAATTATTAGCTTAGTATGCATAAATTTGTTTAATTGCTGAGATCAATGCGAATCGTGACAAACATTTGCATGCCAATTACAGGGTAAGTACAGGCGAAGAAGAAGAAGAACAGTTCTAATTGATTTTTATTTGCTTATTTGATTTATGCGCTTAGTTGAAAAGGCAGCCAAAGTAAATAAATTAGTGCAAAAAGGATCAGGCGGCGAGAGCACGGGGCAAAAGGGGCGATAGGCACTCTTATACCCCCTCCTCCTCCTCCTCCCACCACCGCTTCGTGCTGGCCATGAGCTTCGCAGCGCTGTGTGCCATAAATCATTCATTTCCTTCTTGCCAAAGGGCACAAAAAGCGGGCCACGCAAATTTTTATTTAATTTATTTGTCGCTGCTTTTGGCGTTGCCAACCCCACACCAACCCCAGCCCCCTCACCACAGTGTCCTTCTTTTGTACGCTGTCTTTTGAATACACTTTCGCTTTCTTCGATTCGCTTTGCTCGCCGCGGCGAAATGAAATTGTAAATAATTCGCTTTTGGGCGGAAAGGACGCAATTTGCAGGCAAATTGCATGAAAATTAGACGGAAAACAGAGAATATTAAAACAAAGGCAAAACATGTTAGGGTTTTGCTTTTCGGCTGTTACCGACTGCGCCATGCTCTGTTCGCAAAAAAAAAACCTTTGAATCGAATCCAAAATCTAACATCAGCAATATATATGTTTTTACTTTTTGCAACACTGCAGAAACCAACCCCCCCCCTCCCCCCCATTGCGGCGAAAAACAAAATGGCGTTAATGCGCACAAACAGACAGCCCATATACTCACTTTCATTGTGTGCACAGAGCATAAACAGAAGCCCAAAAACACGAAAATATACATACATACATACATATATTGCCTTGGCAGACAATGACACGATTGGGCGTGGGGAGGGGGTGGCGGCGTATGATGTAGTCGGGTGTTAGTGAATGACAGTGCGTGCAAATGGCTTTTCACATGCAAAAATGTTTGCGGCAGCAACAACAACAACAACAACAACAAACAGCAGCAGCAACGGCAACCGCCGCAGCTAACAACGTGCAGCGAGCCGTTGCCGTCGTCGCCGTTGTCCCCTCTTCTTTGAAGTAGCTGTCAGGTGCTATTCTCCTTATTCTTTTATTCCGTTGCCGTTGCCTCTGCTGCCGTCGCCGTCGCTGCCGCTGCCTCTGCTGCCGTCGCTGCCGCTGCTGTAGTTGTTTAGCATCGCGTAATTCATTTTGAGCGTGCACAAAAGGCGCGCTGTCGGCCGCGATAAAGCTATGCTGCGCTGAGTACCATATGAGACCGTACATGTATGTATATACATGTAGCTGTACATAACTGTACACACATGTATACATGCATGAACACGCACACACTTATGTACATGTGTATGTACGTAGATGCAGGCGTTTACGAGCTTTTATATTGGTATCCATGAAGTTAGAAAGCATCGACACGTTTCTGCGTTTCTGCGTTTCCACAAACACTTTCGCTTCAAAATCGCCAAATGTTTGAAATTTACATTTTTAACAATTATATTTTTTGAATAACAACGATGTCCGTTTCTTTTTATAACATTTGCATGGCATAAATATGCCATTCAGATACGAAAGCTCAAGGCCATAGATAACTCGATACACGTTTGAAAACAAAGATATCGATAACGATTTTTATCGTTTTAATGGGGCAAGTTTTAATGCATTCAACATCTAGCCCATCGTCAATAATTAAAGAGAAATCTAGTCAGTTAGAGACAGAAATTTCGGAAGAATCATATGATAAGAACAGCGCTATAATCCAAAGCGACGCTTAAATACCCTTTAAGTTATACGAAAGCTCTCTAGGATCGATCGTTTCTCTAGAAGGTATAGTAAGACGATTCGATAGGGTTTAAAGGTTATATGTAAGCCGATTCCTTGTATATGATAGCTCTGATATTGAATTGAATCGCCCGTTAATGATCAGGAATATATATGCTTGATCGGCTTGAGAACATCAAAATGTAGGCGATTATTAATTATCTTGACATCGTCATCGAAAATCGATGATGAAATCGATCACGTTAGAGATAAATCGATTGCTACTATTTATGTAAACTTATCTATGTACGATTGTTGATCGTGATATCGTCATCGAAATGCGCGCAGCCCATAAATGTTATCGTTAATCGAACAGAGATAAATCGATTGCTGGAACACCCACGACGGAAGAATGTGTGAGTATGTGAATAACTCAAGTCTATGGCTGTGCCACTTGCTCGTTCACTCCAAAAGGCGTACAATAGCAACAATAAGTAATCCATTCGCAATAAACTTATATCGCTTGCCAGTCTCTTGGCATTCAGAGCCGATGCTGACAATCGATTAACGATTCATGCCGGAGCGCAGCTGTTAAACAGTTGATGCGGCTTTTCAGCTACAGTTGCAAGGGCAACATATTAAATTTCATCCAAATGTATTCTCGATGCTGAGCTAATGCTGAGCATAAGCACGTCAGTG